TTTTTCCCCTTAACCATAGAAAGCCGGCCTTTTCTGACTTTAGGGTAGAAGTGTAATCTTTGATTTATTTCACTCTTTGTGCCCTGGAGCTTTTCTTTAAAAAAATTTAGCATCTGCTCATCTATATTTTGTTTTATAGGATTATTTCTGTTCAGGATTACCCCTATAAATATTCCTCTGCCAATCACCTCAGATCCTTTTGGAATAAGACTATGTATGTAAAAATAAATTAATATCTTGTCAAGGATTTTTGCGTCTTTGTTAATCAAGGATATTGGCCCATAGCTTTCTTTTTTTATTGTGTCTTTGTTTGGTTTTGGTATCAGGGTAATGCTGGCCTCATCGAATGAATTTGGGAGGATGGCCTCTATTTCAATTTTTTGGAATACTTTGAAAAGTATTGATATTAATTCTTCTTTAGAGGTTTGGTAGAATTTAGCAGTGAAGCCATCTGGTGCTGGGTTTTCCTTTGTTGGGAGACTGCTGATTACTGCATCAATCAGGTTTTCTCTTTCTTTTTGTTTTTGTTTCAGTCTTGGTAGTTTGTATATGTCCAGAAATTAATCCATTTCCCCTAGGTTTTCAAATTTGTTGGCATATAGTTGTTCATAATAGTTTCTAATGATTTTTTTGTACTTCTGTGGTATCAGTTGTAATGTTTCCTTTTTAATTTCTGATTTCTATTATTTGGATCTTTTCTTTTTNATATACATTAAATATCTTTGGAAGGATAAATTAGACACTGCTAACTTTGTCTCCAGGGAGGAGAACTGATGGCTAGGTAATAGGAGAGGCTAAGTGTTAGGAGTCAAGGATGACTGAAGTTACTGTGTATTTGAACTTTAGTTGTGATGGGAAAAAATTATGAGTGAGGTTAATTTTTTATATGTCCTATATATACGTTATAAACCTTTATACTTTATAAGCCTGTGAAATATGTGACTGTATTACCTTTTAAAACATAAATATATAAAATTAAAAGAAAATAAAAAGCATGGCTTTGTAATCAGACACATATAGGTTCTAATTCCAGTTTCTACACCTACTTGCTCTGTGATGGGGGCAATTAAGCCCCTCCTTGTGGGCTGCCTTGGGTTAATGGGTATAATACTTATTTTGCAGAATGATGGGAATTAGTGATAGTATTTGTGTAGGGGAGAAGGGGGGTGGTCTGCCCAGCACAGTGCTCAGCACCAGGTAAGTGCTGAATAAATGGTGATGTCACATTATCTTGAAGGATTTCAGTATCGCGCACTAGAGGGTAAGCACATGAGAAGAAAGGCAGCCTAGCATTAGCAAGAAAATTGATCTCCCTAAAAAATTACTTTCTGTCGTAACTGAAGTTCAAACACAGTAATTACAGTGGTGCTTGGCTTTTCTCAGCATTTTTCTAGGTTACTTAGTGTTTCTCAGCCCTGGCTGCACATTAGAACCTGTGGGAGCTTTAAAAAATACTAATACCTGGGCTCCACACCAGCGATTCTGATTAAATTGATCTTGGGTGGGGTCCAGGCATTGGTATTAAAAAAGAAAAAAGACCTTCTCAGGCAATTTTAATATACTCAAGGTTAAGAATTACTGAAGAACAATTTAGAATTTCTTAAATTTGTAGTAGGGTCCATTGCCTGGGGATTTGTTCTCACTGAAGATAGAAGCTGCAGGAACCTATGGAAACTCAGAAATATGTCAGTCTCTGTGTCACAGCTCATCAAGCCTCTCTCAGATAATTGGTTCCTGAAGTGCTTTAGGTTTCACTTTAGAACCCATTTTCTTTGCAAAGGTCCTTCGGACAGTCCTGCTTAAAACAGTTTCTTTTAAACAAGTGGAAGAAAAATGCTGCTCTGTGGATCTTACTTTGTTTCTGATGTTCATTTACAAGTCTCTGGATAGGGTGAAAGCTGAGGAAACATTTCTGAGTGCTGTTTCATTTTAAGCATTACCCCTCTTCATTTCTGGTTTTCAGAGCTTTATCTGCTTGGGAAAGATTTTGGCCAAAATCTTATTTTAGCAAAAGCAGTTTTTATTTATTAGTGTTGGTAATTTTTNTTTAGTTCTGCTCTGATCTTAATTATTTCTTTCTGTCTACTAGTTTTGGGATTAGATTGTTTTTGTTTTTCTAGTTCTTTGAGATTTAACGTTAAGTTGTTTATTTATAAATAGTCTTTTTATACTTTTGATGTAAGCATTTATTGCGATAAACTTCCTTTTTAATACTGCTTTTGCAGTATCCCATAGGTTTTGTGCTTGTATTTTCATTTATTTCAAGGAAGTTTTTGATTTCCTGCTTTATTTCTTCTTTGACCCACTGGTTGCTCAGGAGCATGTTGTTTAATTTGCATGAATTTGTATAGTTTCTGTAGTTTTGTTTGTTAATTTCTAATTTTATTCCATTGTGGTCTGAAAATATGCTTGATATGATTTTAATCGTTTTAAATTTGTTGAGATTTAATTTGTGACCTAACATGTGGTTTGTCCTGAAGAATGATTCATGTGCTGATAAAATGAATGTATATTCTGTTGTTGGATGAAATGTTCTTCATCTGTCAAGCCCATTTGGTCTCAGGTGCTGTTTAAATCCACTATTTCTCTGCTGATTCTTTGTCTAGATGATCTGTCCAATGTTGAGAGCAGTGTGTTAAAGTCTCCAATTATCACTGAGTTGGGGTCTATTTCTCCCCTTAGATCCAATAACATATATATATATCTGGGTGTTCTGATGTTGGGTGCAT